TGGTATTTTGAGTGAAAACGAGTTGTTTAATGCGTCTCCCTTGGATTAGATTGCAACTAGCCTCAGGTGGTAGTGTCACAGATAAAAGCATTAGCTGCTGCAGAGCCTGCAGAAAGGAGCAATGTACCATTAGTGAGCACAAACGCTGCCAATCCAGGACAATAGGACCACAAAATGGGAAGAGGAGATCGTTTCAGCATGACATATTTGCTTGCAAATCAACTCTTAGCTGAAGGCGGTGGGAGGACAACAAGAAGGGATGGGAACAGAGGGGAGGAGAGCCCCTTCCAGTGGCTGTATCCCTGAGGCCAAGGCTGTGGTTTCATCTCCTGAGAGCTCTGGAAATAAAGAGGGATGGAAGAGACAGCAGCAGAGACAATGGCCTGCAGTCTGCATCCCCCAAGAAGGTGAATTCATGCATTCAAGTACATGAAGTGCCAAGAGGATGGATCAGATTCTTCTCACTTATGGAAGCCAATAAAACAAAAGGTAACAGCAAAAAATTGATGCACAGGAGGTTCCACCTGTATACAAGGAAGAACTTCTTTCCTGTGCAGTCACTGAACAGATTACCCAGAGAGGTGGTGGATTCTCCCTCACTGGAGGGATTCAGGAACCATCTGGACACAATCCTGAGCCGTGTGCTCTAGGGTGGCCCTGCTGGAGTAGGGAGGTTGGACCAGATGACCCATTGTGGTCCCTTTCAACCTGTTTCTGGGATTCTGTGAACTGTTGAGCACTGTAATAGGTAGCAGGATTTTGGTTTATTGCGCACCTGGTTCTAGAAAAAAAGATGCTTGACTTTTTTCTTATCTACAGGTAAGATTCAATGAGGGAGAGATGCTGCACAATCCACATGGCACTGCTGTCCTGCCTAGACAGGCCATGTAAAGTTTCTTCCATTACCTACCATGAAGTCTTTCACCCCATGGATCTTCCTCCCTTTGTTGTCCTTTCATGGGACATCATCTCATTTGATAACACCTTCATAAACTTTGGCATCTAGGTTCATCTGGGGGCTCATGGTTCCTCTGGAGAAGGCACAAACAAGGTTTCTCCAGAGCCTTTATCCACAGTCCTAGTCGGGTGAGCCAAATCTCATCCTACACACGCACATTTATTTTTAGAAGACACCCTTTATTGGCAGCTTTGGCAGGATTTTTTACTGTGCTGTACTGAGAAATGCTGTTTTGGTGATTCAAAATTCAAAGGATCATTCTTCCTGGCTGCAGAGCAGATGCCTCTGGGCAAGTCCATGATCAGAGAACCTCCTCAGTGTTCCAAAGAACCACAACTGAGACCACCCAGAACACCATCATTTGCTCTGTTGGATTTTTTTGGCAAGATCAGCTCCTTATTCTGTTTTGTTGATTTGCAGAAACAAATGGGTGGGACCAGAAGAGTCAGGGGTCTCTAACCAGAAATAAACACAGAGACAGATCAAAAGAAGCCAAAACACAACTTTTTTCCCAGTTGCAAGGCAAGAATCACCTCTTGCCTCACCCCTAGTCCTGGTGCTATAACAGTGCTTTTTTCACCTCCTATCCCCACTGTTCCTGTAAGCATCAAAGCTGTGGCTCCACATTCATGAACAGGTTGCAACATGAATAACAACAGATTTTCAAATTTATTTGATCTCGACAGGTTGGAGAGATGGGCAGAGCAGAACCAATTGAGATTCAACAAGGGCAAGTGCAGGTCCTGCACCTGGGAAGGAATAATCTCAAGCACCAGCACAGGTTGGGCACTGACCTGCTGGAGAGCAGCTCTGCAGAGAAGGACCTGGGGGTCCTGATGGACAACAAGCTGTCCATGAGTCACAGTGTGTCCTTATGGCTAAGAAGGCCAATGGAATCCTGGGATGCATTAAGAGAGGTGTTGTCAGCAGGTCAGGGAGGTGATCCTGCCTCTCTACTCAGCCCTCAGGAGGCCACACCTGGAGGACTGTGTCCAGTTCTGAGCTCCTCAGGACAAGAGGGACATGGAGCTCCTGGAGCAGGTCCAGTGGAGGACAATGAAGATGCTGAAGGGACTGGAGCACCTCAGTGATGAGGAAAGGCTGAGGGAGTTGGGTCTGTTCAGCCTTGAGAAGAGATGACTGAGAAGGATCTCATTAATGTATTCAGGTACATGAATGGAAAGTGCCAGGATGATGCATCAGACTTTTCTCACTTGTGGAAACCAATGAAACAAGAGGTAACAGCAAACATTGATGCCCAGGAAGTTTCACCTGAACATGAGGAAGAACTTCTTTCCTGTGCAGTCACTGAGCACTGAACAGATTGCCCAGAGAGGCTGTGGATTCTCCCTCACTGGAGATATTCAAGAACTGTCTGGACACAATCCTGATCCATGTGCTCTAGGGTGACACTGCTGGAGTAGGGAGGTTGGACCAGATGATCCATTGTGTTCCCTTCCAACCTAACTGATTCTTTAACTTAAATTCAGTCCATTTCAATAGCACCTATTAAATTTCCACAGCACCTGGGCTAAGAGCAGTTTGAAAACTTAGTTTCCTATGCACAGATTTTAAGAATAAAAGTTTCTGTACCACAAATCTGCAGTAAATATTCAGTGCACAGTACTGAATTGATTACACTAGGCCAGAGATGCACATTGATGGATTATGGAGGGACTTAAAAACAGCTAAAAAGGTGTAAGATATTCTTGCACTGTTCATTATCTAACTAAAGTGATCTCTACTGCATTCATTTACTTTCCAGCTGAAAACAAGATTGTTCTAAACAAAAGGATGAAATGCAGCCAGAATAGTTAGGATAATCCACCAGGAGAAGAAAATTGAGGGCTAGAGACTGGGGATGGAGGATGTTGGGACATCTGGAGACATGCTATGGGTACAAGGACCCCCACTCTGCCCACACTGCTCACTAAACTCTCCCAGACTGACAGGGCTCCTGTGCACATGTAGGAGCAGAAGGTCAGGTCTTTCCTTTATCACAATATGATAAGGTTTTTGTCAAACCCAGAGGTATCCATGGATAACCAGGTCCATGTGCTCATTGCTTAAATGTTAGCCATTGTTCTCATTAGGTACATGATTGCTGTTGTGAGCCTGGACAGAGGACCCAGGCAAGCATCAAAGGCTTTTTGTGCTAAGTGCAATAGAAATAGCAGTGAAAAAACCCCAGTTCCTCCCCAGGAGGCTCAGTTAATGAAAAACTACAAGCAAGCAAAAAGAGGGTGGGAAGAAAGGAAAGGATGAGAAAGCCAAGATAACAGCTGGTCACACAAACATCTGGATTTAGGGCCCTTAAAGCAAACAGAAATCAGCTGTTTCTATTCCAGTTTTATCTACATTATTTTTAGTTCACTTGACAGGTCTCAAAACAAACCAGTGAAGGGGGAACTGTTCCTCTTGGGGGATGTTTCTAGTGGGCTACCCCAGGACTCTGTCCAGGTCTCAGTGCTCTTCAGAACATTTCTTTCAATGCACTGTTAAACATTTTAGTGACTCAGACTGAAGTTGGTAATATTTGGTTAGGGGAACTCACTCAACCCACACGGTTTAAACTGCCTAAACACACTGTTAGGAGCAAAGACCACTAGTTACCTGCTTTGGCTCCATATTTTCCTCTCCTAAACACTGTGCACCACACTGCATGCATGACCAGGGGAGGAGAGACTCCCATGCAGAAGAGCATTGTCAGGCAGAAAGAGAATGATGTATTCCTCCTGCAGACAGTAAGAGTGAAAGCATTACTGAAATGCTGCATCCATGGCCACTGCCACACTTCAAATAAGATGTTTACAACAAAATTTTGTACCAACCCAGAACTCCACGTGTAGTGGTGATAGCTGCAGAGATAACCTCAGATCATTTATCTAAGAGAAAATTAAGGGGATGGCTTGACTCAAAACTAAAGCAGCTAGAGGTCCTTAAGTGTAAGTGTGAAGATGTTAAGAGATCAGTGGCTGGGTTCTGAGGTTTAGACCACTTCAATTGATGAACTTCTGGAACAATTTACTTACAGATGGAGTGGCTTCTTCATCACTGAACTCTTTACATGATGATGAATCTTCATCTCAAAGCCAAGTTATAGCCCAAAGAAATATTACGAAGCAGAACTTACTGTCATGGATATGATCACACACAAAAGATAATACTTTTTAATAGAATCAAATCATAGAATCATCAAGGTTGGAGGAGACCTCTAAGATCCAACCATTAAACCTGCCACTCTGCTGGAACCCCTAAACCCTAAACCATATTCTCCAGACTTCCAGGGATGGTGACTCCACCATCTCCCTAGACAACCTATTCCAGTGCATGACGACCCTACCAGGGAAAACATTTTTCTTAACATCTAATCTGAATCTCATTTCACTTTTAGTTTGAATTCTCCGAATCTCATGTTTTAGTCTTAATACCTATGAATTACTATTATTTCCATTATAAATTAAATCTATTCTTCTGGGCATCATCAAATCCCTCATGAAACTTGGATCCCAAGGCAACATGCAGATACAACAAAGTAAGAATGCAGATCTTTATGGTGAAGAATAGCAGCACTTCCCTCCTCTCAGGAAGAAAGGCATATTATAGAAACAAGTGTTTATAGTTTTTGTGTTTAATGTATTTTAACAGACTTGAGTACCTTAAATACCTAAGGCATTTTATTTATCACACATCATTGTGGTTTTTAACTCATTCTACATTTCTGCTATTATTCTGTAGAGATCTGAGTCCTGCTAGGACTGAAAATACCATCACATCCAGGCTACTGAGAGAATCATTTGCATTTCCCTGTCCAACAATTTGAAATTACTTTCTCATAAAAATACTTCCTCTTTAAAAACTTTGCCCATTTCAGTCATAAGAGATTCCTGAGCACTTGTTTGGTTTTTTTTTCCTGAGACTGCTCTAAAGTATCTGGCCAAGAATAGCACAAAGAGTATTACTGCAGACAGGAACCTTGTTGTTAGAAAGGGTTTTATTACATCCATCTGAGTAAAACCTTCTTTTCTGTCCTGGTGACATCTCAGACAGTGACATCTGAGGCAGTGCCAGCTGTGGCTGAGTGCTGGTGACTGTCCATCTCTGACAAGGTGTCTGTTGGGAGTGGCTGTCCCTCAGCCCCAGATTTTACTGCGTGCAGTGCATAGTTAAGGCTTGTGCTTTCCATCCAGCTCCACGACCCCGAGAGTGGATTATACAACATCCCATTCACAGTCTTGACTGAAAAGCCATCTAGAAAAGAAAGAAGCCAGTTAATGCAACTGATGTTCTTCAATATTCTAAGCCACTGCAACATCAAGCCCTTTAGACCAGCAAGTCTGAAACACACTTCTTCCTCTGAGCTGAGGAGCAGCACTCCACAGTGCTTGGCCTCTGTCAGTCACCACCAGATGCAATGCCACTGGCATCACTGGGACAGCAGGTCCTGCTGCTGGCAGTGGCTGCAATGGCTCTGTGCCAGGCCATGTACCATTCTGTGATTCTATGATTAGCACAGTGTATGGTGAGCCACTGCAAAATGGCCTGCTACAAACCCCAACTTCACACCACCACCTCTGGGTGGCTGGCAGCCTTTTCTGAAGGTGGAGGCATTCTTCAGATTGACATGACATGCTTCAAAATCAAAATCTGAGCAAAATCTGATCTTTGGAAGGATGCTGCAGATTCTCTTTAGGAATGGAAATACATAAGAGGCATAAGAATGCCATTAAGGACTCGGTGGGAATGAAAAGTGATTTATCACTCCCTGCTGAGCAGTGCTCAGTTTGCTGCATGGCTCTGCTGTGCCCCAGCAGGATATACTGAGAGAAGGCAGAAAACAAACACCCTATAAAGCCAAATCTCTCCCCTGCAGCTGCTACCCCTTTCAAAGGAAGAACAGAAAGAACCACCAGTGTGTGAACTGGTATTAGTCATGTTCCTTATGGCATCACTGTAAAGTGCCAGGAACAGACCTTGCCAAGAGAGCATTTCCACTCCTACTTCAGCTACTTTGCAGTGAACTTCTTTGCAAAGTGAAATATTCAGGGAGAGGGTTTAAAAACATCTGCAGCAAAGGAGGGCAGTGGGCTGAACTCTTCCCAGCTCAGTGCTTTGTCTATTTTAAAAGCAATCAAACCGGGACAATTTAATTAGAAATAATTAAAATCAGTACCATGCAGTTTCTCAAGAGCTGACTAATGAATTTGTGGTAGGTTTCATCCTTACAGTTTTGAAGTAACAAAATATGAATGGGGAACATGGAGCAGCAACCAAAACCAAGGCACTTTCTCCCCAGGGAAAGCCAACACACAATGCAGTGGCAGCAGTGCAGCTCCAGAGTGCCAAGGCAGTTATTTCCTCAAACCTGACCCAGAGTACAGGAACCACTTCAGACCACACATTCTGTCACCAGAACACAATGGAAAACCTTGGAATTTTTGTTTAGGCTATCAAACAGAGGGCAAGCTGCAACACTGATTTGGTTTGAGTAATCACTGCATCCTTAGGATTCCACTTAGTTTATTTATCTCATGCAAAATGGAGTGAACAGCAGTGTCTTTAAACCAGAAATGGCACCCATGATATAAGACTGTTAACTCCCCCAGGAAAAGCTGTGCATTGTTGCTAGCACTCACCCCACCTAGCTCATCCCTTTGCCATTTCTACAGGGACCATTTGGATCTCTCTCTGCATTCCCACCATCTGGCCTGGAACTTACTAGATTCCAGGAGGTGCTCCAGCTCTTCAGGGGAAACAAACTTCTCCCACTCATGTGTTCCTCCTGGTACAATGCCCATTATTTTTTCTGCAACCACAATTCCCAGGGCATAGGACAACTGTGTTCTATTGATTGTTGTAATGAATAAAGAACCTTCAGGCTAATGAAAAGAGTAAAATGTTCAGTTAGAAGAATATTTTGTTTTTAAAAAACTGCAAATTTAATGACATTAAAACACAATTTCTCTATTTACAAGCCTACACAATGCAAGAGTAAGAAGTAATTTCACCCCAGTATAGGCATTTCTGAGCATAACATTTAAATAAAAGAAAGAATATGATGTTCATAGAATCATCACAAAATCATAGAATTTAAGGGTTGGAATGGACCTTACAGATCATCTAGTCCCAACACTCCCTCCATGTAGTAACAGTGTGACTAAGTAGTCCTCAAAGAGTCTACATAATTAGGGTCCTGGGTGGTCTGAAAACCATTTTCTTGCCCCAAAAAACCCACCTAACAAAGTCACTTAAAGCATTCCCTGCCCAGGAAATGGATAAATAAACAGTATTAAGGTATATAGAATATCTATTGTAAAAAAAAAACCATCCAAACCAAAACCACAAACAGCTTTTTTAACATGAAACCAAAGTAGAATGCACAATACTGCCTAATTTTTCACACTGCTTGATGCTTGTTTCAGTGATTACATGGTCAAAAAGATAAAGCCAGAAATTAAGACTAAGTCTTTAAAAGACTGTTTGGTAGAAATAAGGCAGAATTTCTTTGTCCCTAGTGGGCTAAAATTTAGTTAAGCATTCCATTCAAATAATCCACATTCCTTCTGATGACCAGAAAGAGAAAGAAATTAAAGGAAAGCTGCTGCTTGTGTGCTGAGCCCACCACCCTTCTCTACAAAGGAACTCATATTAAGAGTTATAACCACCTGATTATATCCAAGCATAACTAGGACCCTTTAAAAGCAATCCAGGAGCACACCTGATGTGATGCTAGAGCTGGAATAGAATCTTGTGAGTCACAAACATCATTACAGAGAGTTTCAATGCAGTCTGAGCCACAGCTGTGCATCAACAGCAGCACTACCATGTTTTCCCTCACCTGGGTGAACTCAGATGTAACCTGATTTCTTAAGACCTGGATGCAATGCAACACTGCAGTGCCAGGGAATGCCACTAACACTTTTCTAAGGCAAGGTTGGGGAAATAAATTTCCCCTGACTTTAGCTGGGAAGATGTACTTGCATCATGGTGGAGAATGGAAGGCACCTCTAGAATGTGCTTCTGACTTCCAGGTGGAGAAATGAATGCAGATGTGTTTCCACATTCCTTTAAATAAAATCCTAAATAATAAAAGAGAATAAATATTCTCAATAATGAAAGCAAAAACTCTCTTACCTTTAACACCTGAGAGCAACACTTGATAAACGTTTCAAGGTCAGCAACATGCTCCACTACTTCAGAAGCTACAATTACATCAAAGGTTTCCATAGACTCTTCCACAATCTCCTCCAGTGAACTGGACTTGTACTGTATTCTCTTGGCCAACACCGGATCAAATGACTTGTGCCGATCTGCTGTTCTAATGTTGTCCTCCAGAGGATCAATTCCAGTAACTGAAGCTCCCAGTCTACCTAGAGGCTAATAAACCAGAGTATAATTTATTCTCTGCATGAAAACAATTGACTTAAAGGTGTCTGAAACTTTGCAATTGACATACAGGATGCAGAAATCGTTCTCCATCAGAGAACAAGACAAACAACAGTCAATGATGAGCTCTGATCTGACAGTTATTTTCAATGTTTATTAAAGCAGGAAAACCCCTTAGATTTGGGAGAGGCAGTGTTTATTTTCTGAGGAAATTATATACTGGGATATATATACTTAAATTGTCTTTTGGAATGGTTTGTCCTGTTTGTTACACCAAATAAAGATTTCCTCCACTATTACTCTCTGATAGAGGAAAAATAAAGAGGGAAAAATCAACACAGTAATTAAAGGGAGAAAAACAATGCCGTATTTAATTACTGTCATTACTTTCTTCAACATCCACCTGTAATGGCAAATCCTCATATCTTTTTAATGGTTACTTAATATATGATTATCTCTGGGACTTTCTCACTGCTGAGAACTAAACACTGATGTTTACTAGGATAGCATCAGCCTTGGCTGTCACTCAGGTTTCTCCAGTGTCTTCTTACTCCTAGGTTAACACCTCAGCCATCACCTCTTTTGAAACTGAAACAGGCTGCAGAACATGACCACGTGTATAATATTCCAACCTGAAGTTCACCAGTTGTTCAGCCTGAGGAGGTGATGCAGCACAGCAGCTTTGCCAGCCCTGTCAGAGACCACTTGCACAAAACTACAGGACTATGCTCAGAAGAGAAAACAAATGAAAACAGAGAAAGAAAACAGGGGGGAGATTTGGGTCCCTTTGCACCACCTTGTTTCAGGTGAGGTTCCCAGAGTAAGTCAGCCAGCTCTGTCACCCTAAATTTGCACACCAGCCCCAGACTATTGATGGGACACAGCAATGTTCAGAGCCTGTGTGAAAAAAGGGTTCCACCACAAACAGCAACTTCTCAGTCCCAAGTTTGTGCAGACTTCTTGGGAAGCAGCTGTAACATCAGCACCTGTGCCAGGGGAATCTCGCCTGAGAGGGGAGAGGTATGTCCCAGGTGTTTGACCTTATTCCATGCTTTTCCCATGAGACCAAAGCAAAGGTGAGAATCCCCACTCCTGTGTAAGACACTGAAGATAAGCAGTTCAAAGAAATCAATGTGTAAGGACAAGTTAATAACAGAAAATACTTCTTTGGTGATGAGGATTGTCACAGTATGTTATCATAGTATGTTAAAGGGTTGGAATGGACCTTAGAGATCATCTTGTCCCAACCCTCTGCCCAGGGCAGGGACACCTCCCATCAGACCAGATTGCTCAAGGCTTCATCCAACCTGGTTGTGAAAAATGCATCACAGAATCAATGAATGATTCTAAGTATTCTTCCCTAGGCTTGTAAATTAAAGCAAAGAGAGAAATACTCAAAGACCTTTTCATCCTTCTTCCCCTCTCCTTTTCTTCACAATGTTTGAAATCTTATTTTTATGATGAACCTCAGCATTTCAGAGTTTCTCATCATCAATTCCCTCGTTTTCTGTAACCCACCACCATCATACTAACCAAAACACTGTATAGGGTTTGCAGAGTGCACTGCACTCCACTCAATGACTAACACATCATAGAACAGAAAAGCTCCACTCGGTAACTAACATATCAGAGAAGAGAAAAGCTCCTCCTTGGAGGATTAGAAATTAAGCACTGTAATAGCAAAACAATTCAAATACCTTGGAGACTTTTTAACAAGAAAGAACACTGTTTCTTACCTCACTCAGCAGTCCTCCACCACAGCCAACATCAAGAATCTTTACTCCAGACAGTGGATTTCCCAGGTGGTAACCATTCCTCATGCTCAAGAGAGTATCTCTGAAAGAGAGGGGATGTGGTTAAGGGCAAACACACAAGGTGGTTTAGTAGATGCAATATGCAGTTATTGTTTTACTATGTTTCCTGAGGTTATGCAGGAATAGTACATATAAAAAAGAATCTGTCTTCAAAACCATACCTAATAAATGGCACTCTGATATCATTCATAGAATGAAGGGCTGAATATTCTCCTTCTTCATCCCACCACTTATGTGCAAGGAGCTGGAACTTTTTCATTTCCTCTGAATCCACTGAGGAGTGTGAAATGCTGAAAGGTCTGTTCACAGTGAGCCTAAATAATGAAAGCTGAATGTCATTAAAATAACAGGGGTATTTCATGTCAGCCAAAATATGGGAAAAACAGATTCTGTATCAGAAAATAAGGTAAAACTCATGTTCCCTTAGAGACTCTAGTTACACTTGGTTAGCAGCACAGAGATTTTATAACACTGTATGTGTAACATGTCTCACCAAACTGATGGCTGCATACTTGTAACTTTTTAAGTTGGTAACTAATAAAACAAACAAGAGGCCACACTGAAACATGTGTGAGATTCACAAATGGATTCACACTGTCACAAAGTAACACAGCAAATGAGAGTCTGTAACACAGGATTATTTTAGATACAATATTTACATGCTGCTTCTTCTTTCAGCCAGAGAGACAGGCAGAGCACTAGTGGATTTCAGCTGTTTTTTCCAGCTGCAGTCCTGAAGGACACATCTCAGGCCTGTCTGAAAGGACAGACCAGCATGGTGATCTGCATAAATAAAAGACAACCAGAAAACATCAGTGTTATGAGAGCTCACAGGCAAAACACCTAGTTGTACACCTAATTATCTAGCTGTAACCATGCTGCTGTAGCACAATACTAACCATGCAAATCTTAGCACATTTGCTCGCTGCTGTACTCAGGGAGTGTGTGAGGATTAAATAAAACAGCTAGTTCACCATCCCTGGTACTCCTCAAACTATGTATGATGCCATTTTTCAGGGCCTGAATGGTAAGGAGCTTTTCATGCTGCTGAAATGTTTTAGTTAGTGTGAATTTCCCCAAAATGTTTACTCTGACCCCAAGCTGTGCATAAACACACACTTATCAACAGCAGGTTTATTACGTGTTGGAGCAATACACAGCTGCACACTCATTTTGCATCGTATGAACTGGTAAGGAAACACAGGTAAGAAAACCTCGTGGACAGTGGCAGAGCCAGGCCAAGGACACTGTCTTGAGACTGTTCTCCACTCCTGTCCTGCCAGCAGAGGACTCAGCTCTCCTGGGCACAACTTGCTGCTACCTGGTCACCCACAGCCCCCAAACCACAGCAACACCTCACTGCACTCAGCAAACCACTCCCTGCAGATTATTTTAGGTTATTGATATACAGATTGCAGAATCATTGAATTTTAGGGGTTTGAATGGACCTTACAGATCATCTAGTCCCTGTCATGGACAGGGACACCTCCCACCAGAGCAGGTTGCTCAAGGTTTCATCCAAACCTGCTCTGAACAGTGAGAGGGTTGGGCTATCTACCACATCCCTGGGCAATCTGTGCCAGTGTCTCACCACCCTCACAGGAAAAAACTTTGTCCTAATATCTAACCTAAATTTCTCTCTTTCAATTTGAACCCATTGCCCCTTGTCCTGTCACTGCAGCTCCAAACACAGAGTCCCTCTCCAGCTTCCCGGGAGCCTCTTCATATACTGAAAAGTTGCTCTGAG